TGCATCATAACAGAAATAAAGTAGTAATTCAATTAATAAAAACCTGTAAATTATACTGATCTCAAATCCTTGGGTAGTCCCCCACAATGTCGGCAGGATTCTACTTTGGCGAGAAATAAAAGGTACAAGAAGAAAATACAATATTCTGAACTGAAGGAAAATGGAAAGGAAAATAAAAGTAACGATAAATAACTTTGATGGAACTTTGGCAGAACTTCGGGATGAAGAATCCACACCTTTCTCTGTGAGTCTCTTGTCTATTTATAGGAGATGTTTCTTATCTCAACTTCCTGAGATCATGCATGAGATATGGATAAAGTGGTAGTAACTTCCAGTAGTGGGCAGTGAGTGGAGAAAGTGTAGTAACTTCCAGTAGTGGGCAGTGAGTGGAGAAAGTGTAGGAAGGATTTAAGTTGAGATTTATCGTGAATTCTGATTCTGCGTTTTTTTGTCTGCGTGACGGTCGTTATGAAATGTGACGACCGTCACATGCATGACGGTCGTCATGGACCTGTGACGGTCGTCACAGCAGCAGAATCCGTATCTGCTGTTTTTCATCTATTTTTCATCCGTTTTTCATCTGTTTCTTCTCCTTTTCTTTCTTTAGTCCAAATTCTCCCCAGTCTGCAAAACGAAGTAAATTAATCATATAATAGAACATAAATTAAGATAAATTAATAAAAGTCACAAATAAATGCATGTAAATCAAGCCAAATAAACGATATGATTTCGCGTTATCAAACATCCCCACACTTAAACCATTGCTTGTCCTCAAGCAATCGACCAACACAGTAAAAAGAAATAAGCATAGTTCGAAACAAAGTCACGACGAAACTCTAATCATACGTGGCTGCTAGGCTAATGATAGATCGATAGGTACTAAATATTAATACCAAGGATATCATAACGACACAATTTCAAAAACTCCCTACTTATGCAAACCAATCGGAATCATGCCATTATAACTCAACCTATAACTCATGCTCTCTTTCACCCCATTTCATTATAGTGCAATCACATTAAGCCCGTTATCCATACACATTCATGGCAAGTAGACCTGTTAGTGACTACGATCTCATTATTATTTCATTTTTTTCTGCAAATATGCTTAAGCATCAATTGAACTTAAAGAGTTTGTACTGTTAGGCTAAGTGCTCGGGTGAGGAGCACCTAACTTAGAAGGAACATGTCTTTTTCTTCATAATTTTTTTTTCTTTTCTTTCTTAGTTTCTCATTTTAACCTAGAGATCATACACTTATTTGCATCGGTTTCTTACTTAGTGTGTTTAGGATGGTGCTGACTGCTTAAATAAACTACTTAGGGATTACTACAAGAACCTGGAGTTTTAAGGTCTCGGCATAATGGGTACTCAAATTTATTTTGCATATTTAGGGGGTTAAGGTTGTCAGGACGATATCAATTTTATCAAAACTTTCCCAAGTTTTTTCTAACATAGCCTAAACAGCCTATATACTTTCAGAGTACCATGTCATGAATCAAAAAGTTTTTGTTGGAGGTTAAAATTTTGAAATTTTGAAATTTTGGGGAAGTTTGAATAACAGGCGAAAACCACTCATAAAGACTCGACAGCACATGCAAAGATTTTGACATAACATTAAAAATAGATAAAAACAATAAATCAAACTAAAAGGCAATAAAATGAAAGCGATAGAGTTCCTCCCCCACACTTAAACCAAACATTGTCCTCAATGTTTCAGTAAAAGGTGGAAAAGGAAAGATAGAACCTGTATGAATGCTACTGCTCTTGCTATCCTTGTCTTTGTTGATCACTTCTACTTCGGTGGCGGGCATTTTGAGATACTTTGTTTGTGTAATTCTCGAACCAGCTCATCATGTTGCTCGCGTCAAGAGGAAGTACTCATCATCAGTGTTCCCACCAGCAGCGACACTCGTAGGAATGTCCGTGGGCATAGCTCATCTTCTCAGATCGTCATCTAGAGAGTTTTCGCCTAGATATAGCTAAAGCGTAACAAGCAATACATTTCTTTATTTTCTGCCGATTTAAACAAACAAATTAAAATAAAGACTTTGTGGGTTGCCTCCCACACAGCGCTTTGTTTAGCGTCGATAGCTCGACGGCTAAGGAGTGCAAGTACTCATGGTGGTTCTTTCGAGAATGGTTCCTCGATCGAACTTTGAATAGTCTTCGGTTTCCATGGCCACTTATCAAGCCATCTCTCATATCCCTCACCTTTTCGTTTCTTTCTTCTGTAGGGTGGTTTCTTGTTTTGAACGCGTGGTGGTGGTTCTGGATCTATTCTGCGTATCAGCTTTTCAAATTTGGGCTTTGTTATTTCATCCACCACCTCAAAAGTTAATCGTACCCTTTTAACAGTAATAATGACCCTAGTTTCACGGTCCTCGAATTTTCTTTTTCTATGAAGGGCCTTAGACAAAGGTGCATTGGTGTGTATATTTTTCAATACCTCCACATATGTTTTGGATTAGGAGTCTACCTTAACTTCTGCAAACCTTTGTGGGAAAGAAATAGGTGGGGTATAGGGAGGAGGAGCAACGATACGTGCTTCCTTCTCTACCTCTTCGACAACCTCCCTGTCGGTTGGTGTCGGTGGATTTTTCTCAATATGTATGCTTTTCTCACCAAAACTCTCCTCAGGCTCATCATCAATCTCCCTAGGATCTTCTATTTGTTCTTTATTAACGGTTGTTACAAAATTCACATGTCCTTCTGGGAAGGGTCCTAGAGGTGTTTGTCTAAGCAGGGAGGTTTGAGTCTCCAAAGTCTCACTGTGAGTTGCGAGGGAATCGACAATAACGTTCATCTGCCTAAGGTCTTCATTAATTTGGAGATGTTGTTTTCTAAAATCTTCGTTTTGGAGAGTTTGTGTTTCCACAAAGCGCTCCATCATAGATTCTATCCTAGAGTGAGTAGACGTCTCATTGAATTCTTCTAGTAGTCGTTCGAGGTTGGATGTATCAAAATCTTGCGTTTCCTCAAAACATTGGGAGTCGTCATCATAGAGGGAATTTGGGTGAGAGTGCGTAGTATTGAAATCTTCTAATAATATTTCGAGGTCGGATTTAAGCGGAATTTGTGGTTCCTCGAAATATTGGGGGTGGTAGTTATAATATGGAGGGTGGTAATTATAAGGGAAATATGGGTTATACATAATGATTTAGATAAGAGTGCCTTAGTCTATACTATGCAACAACGGAATCACAATATTGACTGTTGGTCCCCGGCAACGGCGCCAAAAACTTGATCGCTCCGCAAGTGCACGGAAATATCGAAGTAATATAAAAGATTTTCGAACCCACAGAGACCAATGTCAATCTACTGTTATCTATTATTACGGCGTAAAGCTAAGGCTATTGGAATTAGGAAAATTGAATGCGAATGAAATTAAATGCAAAAGAAATAAAGAAATTTGGTTTAAAGAAATGCGGTAAAGGATATCGGTATGCAAAGACTTAGTTATCTGGGATTCGACAGGTCACCGATGCTTCTTACTCTTTGCAAACATTGTTCAGAAGAAAATAGTGATCTGAAGACTTTCGTCTCACGATGGTTGTTGACGCTAGTCATAATTCTAAGGGCCGAATGTACGCTTTCGCTGTCCCATTCGGGGTTAAAACTACTTTTTGGAAATATCTAGGTTCTAATCCATTTTAAAGTGCTTTCGCTGTTATTAAAACAAATGCCTAGTGTTTATTATCTGGTCTTGCCGCAACTTTCGCTTGTTGGTTCGTACCTTAATTAATTTCCCACTTTCGTGGCAAAACTACTTTTAAATAAGTTCTCGCTTTCGCGACGAAGTTTATTCAGTAAATAAATTTAAACACTACGGCCAGGAAGGTTGTTTGTAAAAAGGGAAGATGCCGGTTACTATCGAATCCTATCCTACTAATTCAGTTACATACCGATAAAACTAACTTAGCCAGACATGATAATTAATGCGAACGGAAATAGACATAAACAACAGAATAATAACGTGTGCATCATAACAGAAATAAAGTAGTAATTCAATTAATAAAAACCTGTAAATTATACTGATCTCAAATCCTTGGGTAGTCCCCCACAATGTCGGCAGGATTCTACTTTGGCGAGAAATAAAAGGTACAAGAAGAAAATACAATATTCTGAACTGAAGGAAAATGGAAAGGAAAATAAAAGTAACGATAAATAACTTTGATGGAACTTTAGCAGAACTTCGGGATGAAGAATCCACACCTTTCTCTGTGAGTCTCTTGTCTATTTATAGGAGATGTTTCTTATCTCAACTTCCTGAGATCATGCGTGAGATATGGATAAAGTGGTAGTAACTTCCAGTTGTGGGCAGTGAGTGGAGAAAGTGTAGTAACTTCCAGTAGTGGGCAGTGAGTGGAGAAAGTGTAGGAAGGATTTAAGTTGAGATTTATCGTGAATTCTGATTCTGCGTTTTTTTGTCTGCGTGATGGTCGTTATGAAATGTGACGACCGTCACACGCATGACGGTCGTCATGGACCTGTGACGGTCGTCACAGCAGCAGAATCCGTATCTGCTGTTTTTCATCTATTTTTCATCCGTTTTTCATCTGTTTCTTCTCCTTTTCTTTCTTTAGTCCAAATTCTCCCCAGTCTGCAAAACGAAGTAAATTAATCATATAATAGAACATAAATTAAGATAAATTAATAAAAGTCACAAATAAATGCATGTAAATCAAGCCAAATAAACGATATGATTTCGTGTTATCAGTGGCGGCGCACCGGAAAGGAGCTGAACGGACCATCATTACACAAGCTACAATTGAACAAACAACTGAAAACCCCGACCATCATGAAAACACGGAGGCGATGACAACAAATGACGCAACACTCACAAACCAAGTTGAACAAGAGTAACAATCATAGGAACCTGGACGTCCAACCACTAAATCAAATAACAACGGAAACAATTCTTCCCCCAAGATCACGACAGAAACCCTAAGCAAACCATGGGTAAATGTAATCAAAGGAAATAGGTTCCTCAATAGGGGTATGGTTGTAGAGTTTGTCGCACTAGAAATTATCAATGGAGAGATTGAGATGAAAATTGATGAATCAGATGTGGAGGACGAATTGGACTTTTGGAGCAATGTTATGATTCTATTCGCCCTAGGTGATTCACTTTCTATGAATGCTGTTAAGAAATTCATGGAGAACTCATGGAGCTTTGTCACGATGTCGGAACTCTGTTATAATGAGAAGGGTTTCTTTATTGTCAGGTTCAAAAGCGAGCAAGATAGAGAGGATGTTATGTCACAGATTCCATACTTCGTCTATGGGAAACTGGTGTTTATCAGAATATGGAGCCCTGATTTTGAGATAAAAGACGACCTATTGTGAGTCCTTCCTTGTTGGTGACTCTTCTTAATCTTCCCCTGCATCTGTAAGGTTAGAAGGGTATTTCCTAGATTACAAGCGCAATTGGAAAACCAATTACAACTAAAGAGTGTACTGCAAAAAAGTTACGCATATCATATGCTCGAGTCTTGATAGAAGTTGACATCACTTAGAAAATGAAAGAGAGCATTAATATCAGAGATCATAAGGGCAAATTGTTGAAGCAGAAAGTAGAATATGAGTGGAAGCCAATATAATGCCAAAGATGCTTGAAGATAGGTCATGATTGTGACCTGAAGAAGAAACCAGACAAAATTCCCAAAACATGGAAACATGTCCCCAAGAAAACTCAGACACCCTAGCAAATAACCATGGTGCAACAATCACAAGAGGAAGACACACATCAAGATACTCAGAATAAAGAAATTGCAAAGAATAACTCTGAAATGAAGACCCCTTCCCCAACAAAGAAAGATGAAGAATAGACCCAAATTGCATCATCAAGTAAAGGGGACAAAGACAGACAAGGTATGAATACTCCACACAAAACTGCATTTGTAAAATTCCAGAATTCATTTACTCCCCTAAGGATTGGAGATTGTTCTAGGTGTTAAATATAATTCATTGTGATTTGATATGATTAGATGATTAGATTTGATATCATATGATTAGATTTGATATAGAATATTTTGGGCCTTTTATGTTTTGGGCTAGTGTAAACCTAAAACTATAAATAGGGTGCCTTGCTTTGTATTCTACATCACAACAGAACAGATTTCACAGTTGCAGTTAGCAAGTGAAAGTTCAATAAGAAATCCCACAGTTGTGGGTAACACATTCTCTCCAAATACTTCTTCTCTCATTCTTCTCTTTCTTGTTTGTTATTCTTCTTCTCTTTTGTTGTTCTTGATAATTACTTGTTATTACCATCATTATCATATTGTGGGTTTGTTCATCAATCTTGAGATCAAGATTGAAGGGAATTATTCATAGGGTGTGAGGTGAATTTCCAACATCTGGTATCTAGAGCTCCGGTTGAGAGATTCAAGGAAGGAATATAGTGATGGCAATGAACTATCCGAACGGTAACTTTCCGGCGACCCTGCCAATTCTCAAGAAAGACAATTATGAGAATTGGTGCAAGCAGATTAAGGTGATTTTCTGTTATCAAGATCTTTGGGATCTTGTGAAAGATGGAGTAACATCGCTTGGGGAGAACGCAACGGAGGCGGAAAAGGCTGCGCACAAAGAATTTGAAGAAGAAGGATTATAAAGAACTCTTTATAATTCATCAGTGTGTCGATCCTGATAACTTTGAAAAGGTTAGTGATGTTGATTCAGCAAAAGAAGCATGGGAGATTCTTGAAAATTCGTTTGGAGGCGCAGAGAAGGTGAAAGAGGTGAGGTTACAAACTCACAAGAGAACCTATGAGTTGCTTCAGATGGAAGACAACAAAAGCATTACAGATTTCTTCACCAGAGTTACAAAGTTGGTGAATCAAATTAAAGTATGTGGAGAAGCGCTGACGACGAAAGCAGTTGTCTCAAAAATCTTGAGATCGTTGGCTCCAAAATTCGACCACGTGGTAGTTGCCATAGAAGAGTCTAAAGATCTTTCAGTGTTGACGAAGGAAGAGCTTCAAGGGACTCTTGAGTCTCATGAACAGAGGATGGCTGAGAGAGCTGCAGGAAAGTCGAAAGATATGGCTTTACAGGCGCAGTCAGAAAAGGAAAGAAAAGGCAAAGGTAGCTGGAATGGCAACAAAGGAGGAAACCAATCGAATCAGAAGAAACCTTGGAACCAAGGCAACCAAAGAGGTGGTGCTGCAGGTAAAGGAAGAGGTGGTGATCGAAAGACAGACAAAAGCCACATTCAATGTTTCAATTGCCAGAAGTATGGTCATTATGTTAGTGATTGTCCAGAAAAGAAGAGAAATCAAGAGACTGATGTAAAGCTGGCGAAACATGAAGAAGAAGAAACGTTGCTAATGGTCACAACAAACGATGAAGAAAGATTCCAAGATCAGTGGTACTTGGACTCAGGATGCTCATCACACATGACTGGAAGGAAAGATTGGTTTGTCAACATGAAGCCCTCGTCGAAGAATACGGTGAAGTTTGCAAATGACAACACTCTAGCAGCTGAAGGTGTTGGTGATGTTCTGATTATGAGGAAAGATGGCAAAAGGTCAACAATTTCCAATGTGTTGTACATACCAGGCATGAAGAGTAATTTGCTCAGTATAGGGCAGCTTGTCGAAAAGAACTACAAGGTAGCTGTCAAAGACAAGATGATGAGAGTCCTCGACGCAGGTGGTAGACTAATCTTGAAGGCTCCAATGTCTCAGAATAGGACCTTCAAGATTGGACTCAATGTGATGGAGCACAAGGGTTTAGCAACTGCAGCCACTAAAGTCGCAATAGAAGTTCGACAGGAACCAGTTGCAGATGAAGCAGGTTCAAGCAGACCTCGACGAACTAGACACATGCCTGCAAGGTTGCAAGAATGTGTAATCACATCAGATGATGTAGTCGATGAAGAGGGTGAGCTGGTACGTTATGCTTTCTACGCAGATTTCGAACCAATCAATGCAGCTGAGGCATTGAAAGATTCGAAGTGGGTGAAAGCAATGATTGAAGAGTTAGAGCCCATCAAAGTCAATGATACCTGGTCACTTGTCGAATTGCCGCAAGGCAAGAAGGCAATTGATGTGAGGTGGGTTTACAAGGTGAAGGTAAATCCTAAAGGAGAAGTAACTCGACACAAAGCGAAACTTGTGGCGAAAGGATTTCTTCAGAAGGAAGGAATCGACTTCGATGAAGTATTCACACATGTTGCTAGAATCGAAACAATCAGGTTGGTTGTTGGTCAAATATGAACAACTGGCACACATGTCAGATGGACGTGAAGTGTGCATTCCTTAATGGCCCTTTAGAAAAAGAAGTTTATGTTGCACAACCAGCTGGGTTTGTGAAACAAGGCGAAGAAAGAAAGGTGTACAGGCTTCATAAAGCCATGTATGGACTTAAGCAAGCTCCAAGAGCTTGGAATAAGAAAATTGACAGCCTCTTAAGGGAGAAGGAATTTGTGAAGTGTACAACTGAGCATAGAGTATATGTAAGAAGAAGCAATGGCGAATTGCTTATACTATGTCTCTATGTTGATGATTTGTTGATAACAGGGAGTTCCAAGAAGGAGATCGAAGATTTCAAACATGACCTGAGTAAGGAGTTTGAAATGTCAGACTTGGGAAATCTCTCATATTTCCTTGGCATCGAATTCTACAAGACAAGTAGAGGTTTGATGATGCACCAAAGAAGATATGCAGGCGAGATACTCAAGAGATTTGAGATGCAAGATTGCAACCAAACTTCGACTCCAGCTGAGCCCAGATTGCAACTGTCGAAGGATTCAGATAAAGATGATGTCGACCCAACCCAATACAGAACACTTATTGGGTCACTTAGATACCTTTGCCACACAAGGCCTGACTTAGCATACAGTGTTGGTATGATAAGTAGATTCATGCAGAAACCAAAGGTATCACACCTAGCAGCGGCGAAGAGGATACTGAGGTATCTGAAAGGAACTCTCAACTATGGCATTTTGTTTCCAGCAGTCGATGAAGGAAAAGAATGCAAGTTAGTGGGATACACAGACTCCAATTGGTGTAGTGATACTGAGGATCGAAAATCCACAGCGGGATATGTGTTTATGTTAGGTGGTGCACCAGTTGCTTGGAATTCGAGAAAGGAACCAGTGGTGGCATTATCATCATGTGAAGCAGAATATATAGCTGCTTCCCTTTGTGCATGTCAAGCAACTTGGATGGTGAACTTGGTCGAAGAAATCACAGGGAAGAACCATGGAGCAATTACCATGAAGATAGACAGCATGTCAGCTATCAACTTGGAAAAAAATCTAATAGCTCATGGTCGAAGCAAGCACATTGAAATGAGGTTCCATTATCTCCGAGAGCGGGTAGCAGAAGGGGAGATGAAGTTGGAACACTGCAGAACTGAGAATCAGATTGCAGATATCATGATGAAGGGAGTGCAGGTCGAAGCCTTCAGAAGACTAAGGGCCATGATGAATGTAGACAGTTTAGACACAATGAATTAGGTGGTGTGTTAAATATAATTCATTGTGATTTGATATGATTAAATTATTAGATTTGATATCATATGATTAGATTTGATATCATATGATTAGATTTGATTTAGAATATTTTGGGCCTTTTATGTTTTGGGCTAGCGTAAACCTAAAACTATAAATAGGGTGCCTTGCTTTGTATTCTACATCACAACAGAACAAATTTCATAGTTGCAGTTAGCAAGTGAAAGTTCAATAAGAAATCCCACAGTTGTGGGTAACACATTCTCTCCAAATACTTCTTCTCTCATTCTTCTCTTTCTTGTTTGTTATTCTTCTTCTCTTTTGTTGTTCTTGATAACTACTTGTTATTACCATCATTATCATATTGTGGGTTTGTTCATCAATCTTGAGATCAAGATTGAAGGGAATTCTTCATAGGGTGTGAGGTGAATTTCCAACACTAGGGGAGAAAACCAACTTGAACCATGTTAGTCACTTGGAATGCTAGGGGCATGAATAAAGAGGTAAGGAATAGAGAGATAAGATCATATATCTCTACATTTAATGTACCAATCTGTGCCTTTCTGAAAACTAGAGTTAAGAAACATAATGCTGAAAAGGTTAGAAAGATTTTTGGGCCTAATTGGAATTTTGAGGATAATTATGATCATCACTCAAATGGTAGGATTTGGATTATGTGGAAGCAAAACACAGTTAACACAAAAGTACTCAAAACCACTGCATAGTTCATTCATGTATAAGTTTATACCGTTGATCAAACACACTTGCATACCCTTACTGTGATATATGCTTTCAATCAACTTAAACATAGGAGAAGTTTATGGAAAGATATTGAACTCTTAAGTAATAATACCAATGGCCCTTGGATAGCTATGGGAGATTTTAATAATGTAACTTCTTGCCAAGATAGGATTGGAGGGAAATAGGCTAGTGAAGCTGAATTTAGAGACCAGAAAGAAATGATACAAGTAGTCGAGCTGTTTGAGGCTACAACCAAAGGGCTTCACTATACCTGGACCAATAACCATACAACAAGGTCATTTATTCTAGAATAGATAGAGTATTTTGTAATGCTGCTTGGTACTAGAAATTCCATGATGTGATGATAGAAAACTTGGCCCCTAATATCTCAGATCATACTCTTGTGAAGATAAGTAGATATGAACATCAAAATAAGAGAGCATCCTTGTTTAATTTTCTAAACTGTATGAATCATGAAGAGGATTTCCTTCAAATTATAGAGGAAAGCTGGCAGAGGGAGGTTAGGGGGGCCTATGCAAAGCCTGTGGAAAAAACTGAAGAGACTCTAACCAAAGCTCAAAGTTATGACAAGGATATTCACCAACAATCAGATACACCTTACACAAGCTCGACAAGAACTCTACCAAACTCAGAAAAGACTTCAAAGAGATCCATTCAATGATCAAACCATTCAGCAAGTGAAAGTTTGTACTAAAAAAGTTATGTAATTGAACCAAATAGAAGAGGAGATCCTAAAACAGAAAGCAAAAATAAACTGGTTGAAGCTATGGGACAACAATAATGCCTATTTCTATGCCTCAGTTAGGGAGAAAAACAAGCAGAAAGGCCTCTATAGTCTATTAGATTTAAATGGAGAGATGCTTAGAAAGCATGAGGACATTGAACAAGAGATTATGTAGTTCTATACTCATCTGGTAGGCACACAAAATCAGAATCTAAAGAGCATAGAAATCCCTGTTATTATAGCTGGTAAAACCTTAACTAGAGAGGAGGCTCATTACCTCATCAGGCCTGTGGAAGACAAAGAGATTTGGGAAGCCCTTAATAGCATTGGAGACACAAAATCACCAGGTATGGACGGATACAATTCCTATTTTTTCAAAAAACCTGGCATATTGTGAAACATGATGTGAAAACTGCTGTAAAGGATTTTTTTTTACAGTAATCATATGTACAAGGCATTTATTTGTTCTCTCATAACTTTGATCCCCAAGACCCCAAAAGCAAAAAAAAATCAAGAAGATAAGGCTTATAGCTTGTTGTAGTACCTTTTATAAAATCATCTCCAAAATACTCACTTTTAGACTTGGTTCAATTATTGGTCACATAGTTTCAGATTCCCAATCTGCTTTTATATCTGGTAGGTTAATTCATGACAACATCATGCTGGCTCAAGAATTGGTGAGAGGATATGGTAGGAATCAAATATCTCCCAGAATTATGCTTTAACTGGACATCTAAAAGGCATATGACACATTGGATTGGCAAGCTCTGGCTCATATTATGATGGAGATAGGTATCCCCTAGGTCTTTATTAATTGGATTATGTCTTGTGTAACTTCTGTTTCATACAGGTTCTCAATCAATGGTAGCCCTTCAAAACTCCTTAGAGAAAAAAGAGGCTTGAGACAAGGAGACATCATCTCACCTCTGCTCTTTGTGATCACTATGGAATACCTTCACAGGATACTTCAAACTTTGGCAAGAAATCTTAATTTCAAGTTCCATCCAAGATGTGAGAGGCTAAACATCATCAACCTATTTTTTGCAGATGACATTCTGTTGTTTACTTGGGGAGATGGTATATCCTTGCAGCTAATCATGGAGAAAGTTCAAAAAAAATTAGATGCTACAGGTTTGTGTATCAGCAACACTAAGAGCAAGATGTATATTGGAGGAGTGGATGAAGAGACAAGAAAGCACCTTTACCATCTCACAGGTCTGACTGAGGGAGAGATGCCATTCAGGTATTTGGAAGTGCCACTTAGTAACAAAAAAACTAATTGCCAAGAACTGCCAACCCTTAATTGATAGGATGTTGAAAAGGATAAACTATTGGAGCACCAAGTTCCAATCATATGTTGGAAGATTGCAACTTGTCAAGAGTGTTCTTTTTTCTATAGCTAACTACTGGATGCAAATTTTTCCCTTGCCTAAGAAAGTGATCAATCATGTTGAAAGACTTTATAGGGCATTCTTATGGACCGGTAAGGATAAAAACAAGAGGAAATCTCCCATAGCTTGGGATCATATATGTGATTCAATCTCAACAGGCGGGAGGAATATCATCTCTTTATATGATTGGAATAAGGCTACCATATGGAAGATATTATGGAATATTTGGACAAAGAAAGATATTTTGTGGATTAGATGGCTCCACATTTACTACATTAAGCAGGTGGATGTTCAATACTTCACCCCCGGCCAGAATTGCTCATGGATAATAAGAACTATATTCAAGAATAAAGATATGCTCATCAACTCTGATTCGTGGCAAGAGTTCTTGATGGAAGGTAGATACAAGATAAGGGATGTGTACAAATACTTGATAGGAAATAAACCAAACGTGGATTGGAGAGGTATGATGTACGGTAACATTGCCAGGCCAAGGGCGATTTTTACTACGTGGATGGCATGTCAAGGCAGGCTTGTGACTAAGGACAAAGATACTCAATATGGAATTCACACGGATAGTCTTTATGTGTTCTGTACTAAGCATGAAAGTTTTGCTCACATTTTCTTTGAATGTGATTACATATACCAGTTCTAGAAACAGGTCATGCGAATGTTCCAAGTGCAGGTCCCTGGTCAGAGAATTATGGATATGCCATGGCTCACCAAAACTACACGGGGCAAGGGACCCAATGCTAGGTTGATTAAGTGTGTGGTGGCTGAAGCTATCTACCATATTTGGGCTATTCGAAATAAATGTGTTTTCCAAAATGGTAAAAGGGATGGCTGAGTAGTGGTAAGATTAAAGAAATGGTGATGATAAGAGATGAAACTGACAAGAAAGTGTTAGATTATTGTATTAGACATTTTTAGTTTTTGTTGTGTAATTGGTTGCTTAGTCTCCTTGTTGCCTGGATCGTTTTGATCGGCTTGTAATACTTGTTTTTTTGGGTATTAATACATTTTTTCTTATTCCAAAAAAAGGATAATATAATACTATTATCTTTAAAATAATATAATTTTTAATTTCATTTATAATAAATATTATAGGTTTTTTATTTTAATTTTTTATTAAAAAAAGTTCGTTTATGGTCGGGTAACCCGAACCCCATTTAGGATCGGATTTAGATAGTAATTTTTGAGCTCATATTATAACAGGGTTTTTTGGCACAGCTCTAAAAAATTTGAGACCCGCCAAGACCGTCTCATTTAGGGTATGAAATGATTGATGAAGAAATTAATATCAAATGATTAAATATCATATAGACACGCATGCTTCACTAATCATAGATGTTTTAGACAATAAATCTTATTACTTCATTACATTATTTATTTTATTTTTTTACACAACTTCATTACATAATCTTCTGAAGTGCTAAATCCAACTCAAACAATATAAATATAGATAACATAAATACTTCATTGATATTTAATTATGGAAAATAATTTTAGTCTTTTTATTTTTATCACATTTTATTCTGTTTTTTTATTACAATTAGCCTATTTTTATTTGTGAGATGTTATATCGAACTCTAGTATGGTCGAATGGTAGCTTATGGTTCGCATGTTGCTGTCGAAGATAATGCGTGTTATAGTCGAAGTTTGTTCTAACATGTATTAGTAAATATTGCTATGTTGTTAGCATATTAGATTGGGCCTTGCTTGTAAGCCCAAGTGTTTAAGTTAGCTTGTACCCTAAGTTAGCTTGTAATGGGTAATTGTTAAAAAGCCCATTAGGTTAGTGTGTTATTTTTCTTATAAATAGGATGCTAGTTTCTCAATCTTGGCGTAAGGAAAAATATGAAGATAAAATCCTAATTCAAGTGAGAGAGGTTATTTTGTTATTCTTGTATACTTTTAATCTTATTCTAAGAGAAAGAAAAGAATAGTAGTTTATAATCAATCCTTGTTGTTCCTTGTTAATTTACCTTGTTTTCTTTGTTAATCCTAACCCTTGTGTGTTTCTTTATCATAAAGAAACCTTTTATACTTTATTTAAAGACATCTGATTCATAACAAATTGGTGCATTGAACGTGAAGAAGATGCCTTCAACAAAGTATGAGATCGAAACATTCACCAAAGTGAATGACTTTGGTCTGTGGCGCTTGAAGATGAAAGCCTTACTGGTTCAGCAGGGCTATTTGAAAGCGTTAAAGGGAGAGGTAGCCATGGACGTTGCATTAACAGCAAAATAAAATACGGGCATGATTGAGAAAGCCCACAACGCAATATTGTTGAGCCTTGGTGATAAGGTTCTTCGACAGGTATCAAAGGAGACTACAACATCGGGATTATGGGTAAAACTTTAAAGTTTGTAAATGACCAAGTCTCTGGTGAATCGACTCTACCTGAAGCAAGCTTTGTATTCATTCAAGATGAGTGAAGGCAAAGTGTTGGCTGAGCAGTTGGATACGTTGAACAACATGATTCTTGATCTTGAAAATATTGATGTGAAGATCGATGATGAAGATTAAGCACTGTTGCTGCTGTGTGTTTTGCCTATAACACATGCTCACTTCACAGAAATTCTCTCGTATGGAAGGGAGTCTCTGACCTTTGAAGAAGTTCAATCATCCTTGTATTCTAAGGACTTGAACGAACAAAAGGAGCATAAACCTTTGACGGTTGGCGAAGGTTTGGCCGTTAAGGGAAAATTCTTGCGAAAGGGTGGTAAGTTCGACAAGAAGAAAAGTAAAAGTCAACAGAAATCTTATAGTGGCGAAACATTTGGTATTCGATGTTATTATTGTAAGAAGGAGGGTCACACAAGAAAGGTGTGCCCTGAATGCCTAAAAGATCATGGAGGTAATGGCAACGTAGCCGTTGTTCAAGATGACTTTGACTCATCTGATGCTCTTGTGGTTTCAAGTGGCGACTCAAGAAAAGAGTGGATTATGGATTCAGGTTGCACTTGGCATATGACTCCAAACAAAGAATTGTTCGAGGAGTTGTGATTAAGATGGTGGTTCTGTGCTGCTGGGAAACAACAAATCTTGCAAAGTTGCAAGTATTAGATTTGTGAGATTCAAGCTCCATGATGAGTCAATAAGGAGAAATTTGATTTCTCTTGGTGAATTCGACAGAAAGGGATACGTTTTTCAAGGAGAAAAAAGTAACCTAAGAGTCATGAAGGGGTCGAAGGAATTCTTGAGAGGCGTGAAGAAACAATGCTTGTATACCCTTGAGGCTGAGGTTGTAAGTGGTTCGAAAAATGTTTTATCCATGAAACATGTGTCGAAGACAGAATTATGGCACATGAGATTGGACCATGTCAGCAAAAGAGGCCTGGTCGAATTGGGGAAGCAAAACCTGCTAGGAGGTGACAAAGTCGAAAAGTTGGAGTTTTGTGAATCTTGTGTATTTGGTAAATCCTGTAGGGCGAAGTTTAACAAAGGTAAGCAAAGAACACATGGATCCCTGGATTACATTCATGTTGATCTTTGGGGGCCTGCAAGGAATCCTTCACACTCAAGTGTAAGGTATTTTCTATCCATCATTAATTAATATTCCAGAAAGCTATGGATATTCATTCAGAAGACGAAGGATGAAACTTTTGAGAATTTTAAAAGTTGGAAGATTCTGGTCGAAACTCAAACTGGCATAAAGGTTAAGAGGTTGAGAACCGACAATGGCCTTGAATTCTGCAATGAAGCGTTTGACAGTTACTGTGTTGAGTCTGGTATTGCAAGGCATAAGACTGTAGCAGGTACTCCTCAACAAAATGGCGTAGCTAAGAGATTCAATTAAACAATCCTTGAAAGGGTTGGATGCATGTTGGTTAGTGCTAGATTGAATAAGGTGTTTTGGGCAGAACCTATTTCGACAACAGCTTACCTGATAAATAGATGTCCCTCGACTGCCTTGGGAATGAAGACACCTGAAGAAGTTTGGCCGGGACATCCACCTACTCTCGACAGACTGAGAGTATTTGGTTATGTGGCCTATGCTCATATTAGGCAAGACAAGGTCGAACCTAAAGCTCTGAAATGCATGTTCATGGGATATCCTGAAGGAGTCAAAGCTTATAGGCTATGGTTCCTAGAGCCAGGTCACAGGAGGTGTATCACCAGTCGATATGTAGTTTTCAATGAAGAAAATATGGCCTTCAAGAAAACTGATGATGCTGACGAAGAGCTGGAACAGGGAGAGATTCATATTAAGGTGGAGCATGTTGATGCTGAATTGCATACCCCAGATAAAGTCGAAGAAGATGCAGAAGATGTTGTCAAAGATGAGGAGATTGATAATGGCTACCTGCTAGCAAGAGATAGGTCAAGGAGAGTCATCAAGCCACCTCAGAGACTTGGGTATGCAGATCTTATAGCTTATGCCTTAATCTCTGCAAGTGAGGTTCTAGACGAAGAACGTAGAGACTATAAGGAAGTTATGAGGAGTCAAAAGAAGACTGAATGGCTGAAGGCCATGGATGATGAGATGAAATATCTTCATGATAACAATACCTGGGAACTGATTAAGAAACATGATGGAGCCAGGTTAGTCAGCTGTAAATGGATTTTCAAAGTTAAGGGAAATCGAAGGAGTGGCGTCAAAGAGATACAAGGTAAGATTGGTTGCTAAGGGGTTCACTCAGAAATAAGGTATCGACTTTAATGATGTGTTCTCTCATGTTATGAAGCACATATCCATTCAAATGTTGCTTTCCATAGTGGCAAAGTTCGATCTTGAACTGGAACAGATGGATATGAAGACTGCGTTCTTGTATGGTGACTTAGATGAAACAACCCTAATGAGGCAACCTGAAGGGTATGTCAAAAAAGGGAAGGAAGATCATGTGTGTAAGCTGAATAGATCCTTATATGGACTGAAATAATCTCCTCGACAGTGGAATAGGAGATTC